TGACGATGTACTGAAGATCTATATCATGTTGCTCAGCCCCCACATACATCCAACACTGGCGGTCAGCATTCCAGCCCCTGTTCGGGAGATAGGCTTCCAGCATGTAGTAATTATCTCGGTGGAAAGGGAAGTCGAAACTCGGCGGGCCGCTTCTCTCTAGAAATAGATCACAACCCGACTCCATCTCTTCTTTCGACATACGGAAACGCCGCCGCTTATTGCCTCTGTTTGCCGACTGGCGGCGGATGGACCGTGTCGTTGAGTCCAAGTGGACCTCCAGTAGCCGGGCATGCCACAGTGGGTTTCGTAAGGCTTTCCGAACGATGGCTGCAGCAGAGACTATTATAACCTGGTTCCATTCCGGATTCTTGCCCCGCGCGATCACGGGAATCGGTTCCCCTATGTCCAGGTTGCGCTGCCAGTGAGCGAAATCGACGATTAAGCAGAGGGACGACCATCGCAACAGGCAAGTGAGACAAGTGCAGACCTCTGCTGGATCGGGAGCTTGGATATGCTGGTAGGGCTTTTTGTGGATGGTGAGGATGTCCTGCCGTTTGGGGTTCTGCACAAGGTCGCGAATGCTCGGTTCGATGTTTTCCATGAGGACAGGTAGGCGAAAACATTTAGAAAGGCATGCGTAACGCCACCCAGTGATATTTCGAGAGATGCGATGTTGCTCTCCAGTAATGAATCCATGGTAAGCTTTGCTGACGCGTGCGAGATTGAAGATGTCACTCGGACGCAGGAGACTGACTATCTCCAGGATAAGCTCATACGGTAAAGCCAGAGGATCTCGCGGATCACGATTGGGCTTGGCTTTCTTCGCCTGCCTTTTGCGGGCCCTTTCTGTCCGTTTGGAATGAAGCGTCAGTGCTTCGGTCTTGTCCTCCAACTCTTCCAGCTCTCCATCATCCGAAACATCAAGTTTTCGCATCTTTGCGGGTGTTGCGTGCTCGAGATGTCGATAGACGATAATAGGTGATGTTTAAAGTGAAGGAGTTGGGACTAATGAGTTGGGTATTTACCAATTGAGGAATTGTCCGTCGGCAAGGACCTCAGTCAGTTTCCCGCGAACCTTATCGCCACTGGTACAACCCTAGGACCCTTCCATTTAGATGCATAACTCATCAATGCATATCAAGTAGCACTGATTTCTTGCATAGGTAGAATGGTTAACTTGATATTTCTTGCTTTGCCCCATGCACCTCCTCTTTTTGCTCGTAACACTCAAAAACAACTGGACATCTTGCAACATGGCCATCTATCATATCGTCCTCTTCAAGTTCAAGGATCTTGTCCCCACCGACGAGGACAAGGCTGTAAGACTGGAGTTCAAGTCAACAGATTCCAGGTTAGGTTAACTCTTTACAGGCTTGCAGCCGAATGCTGGCCTTGAGCACGGAATGCATTCACCCCACCTCCCAGAAGAACTACGTCAGGTTCCTCGGCGGGGGCAAGGATAACAGCCCTGAGGGCCTTCAGGTGAGCCTCATTCTGTCTACCTACCTCCAGTATGGCTGCCCGACCGTACTTCCTAACGAGCTACACGATCAGAATGGCTTGACGCATGCCTTCATCGCCCAGTTTGAGACCGAGGAGGATCGAAAGTACTACCTCGAGGAAGACCCTGCTCATAAGGAGTTCGTTGCAAGTATCAAGGATATTGTCGAGAAAGTGCAGGTCGTCGACTTCACTCCTGATGTTTTTTGAGGTCCTCTGTCAATCTTACAGGTGGGGGAAATGAATATGAAGTCGCCACGATTTAAGATGGTAACAGACTGGTATAACTAGGTATCTTCAATGCGATGAGAGTTTTCTGTTATGATCATGACGGCTGTCTACCACAATAGTTAATATTCCCTGCTTCATAAGTATGTACAGTCTTTCTCACTCCTGCCACTATTCTTGTGGCCATGCGTTTATACACAGGCATTTTCATCTTACTTAAAGTCTACTTGAGTAGGTATTTACCATCTACCATTACCTGCTGACTACTTCGGAACGTCAGACTTGTGCCTTCCTTCAAGGGTAAGTAGTGATTGAGAGCGTCACTGTAAGAGCTGACCAATGTTTTCTAAAGCTTTGTCGTTGACATACTCAGGCTGGACGTTCATGGCGCTACTTTAGCAATATCACCTCTGGGGCTTTACTTATACCATACTAGCAGATTCCCGGGGAATCGGGTGCCATTATATGGGACGTGCCAGCCGAATGGTTAGGGGCTAAATGTCCAGTCTTATATCTTCTCCTACCACCTGTCTTGTTTGTGAAGATACAGTATTTATTTTTAGTTTATTATGGCAGCTACTACCAGGTTGATCTTTCCATTCTCATACCGCCGCATCTTCTCCCAAAGTGATCATACCAATGATACCATTGATAGAGATATCACTTTAACCTTTTTTACGGCTATAACGCCTCTCTTTCCACAATGTTTAGATACGTCCCTGTCGAACGTACGTGAGACCCGGTAATCGATAGCCATTGCTTTAATCCTGATGTCATTAGTTACTTGTCAAGTGTCGTAAGTCTGCTTTAGAAAATTTTGCCGGCAGTTATAGTCATCTCGGCTCTCACATTACCTTGTACTTGTGTGTATTGCCATTCAGGTACTCAGGTACCTAAGAGATGCGTGGACATGAGCGTCTCTAGAGCGGGCCATACACGTGATATAGGATTAGGTCTCTAAAGAAGACTAAATCGGAGCTAGAACCTATTGAGATCGATGACCAACCTACCTAGGTACGTCATCTCCCATCCCCCACCTTAGCTGTATTGTACCTACGCTGCACACTGCCTGCACGTAGCACTTTACCTAGGTAGGTAGTTGATAACTGGAGTTCGGGAGCAAACACACAACAACAGACCTGCAACCTCAGAACGCTCTAGGTTAGGCAACCAGCCTTAGACATATTTCTTTTTTCCCCTTCTTCATCAAAAAGTTGGCCGATCATTGATCATCGATCATCGTAAGCCCATTGTCAACAAAGAATCAAATCATCCTCCACCAATAATTGGTGTCTTCGTATAGACTTCATCCATCACCTTAACTCTTTGTTCACTTTTCTTCTTACCCCCACCCTCTGTTATACTTCCCACCACACCATCATCGTGCCATATTTCCCCATTCGCTATCTGCCACGTCTCTGGTAGCTTGAACTCGCGATTCGCATCGAATCGGAACCTACATCTGTCTCGCCCTCGACCACGTTCTGTTTGACAGGCCAACGACAGCAAGCATGTCTCAGCAGCAAACCGCGCCGATGCTGATTAACATCCCCCCACCGCCGTCCAATCCGGACACCCCAAGCGATATGCCGTACGTGCTTGTCTCTAAGCTAACACGATCTTGATCCCTTTCCATGTTATATGCTAAAACAAGACCATCAACAGTGGCACTCCCACCAGCACCACGACTTCACTGTCCGCACTCTCGACCACCGCCATCAAGGATGGCCATCGCGGCCATGCATTCCAAGGCCTCGGAGGTCCCCGCGGCCACCAACACCAATCGTCGACCAACAGCCTAGAAGCCGAACGAGCGGACCGCATTAGCCGCCTAGCCGGCCTTGAACGCGTGTCCACGCTGCGCGCCCCTAACCAGCACGGCAACGCGAACTTGCCGCAGACGACACCCGCCTCCACGACGCAGCAGGCCCCGGCGCCCCTGACGCCCGCGTACTTCGACTCGAACGGGCAGCCGGTGGCGGTGACGAAGATGAGCACGGTTGGCACGGCATCGGCGACGGGTAGTGTCGGCGCGCGGACGACGGCCGAGGCGGGCGAGCAATTTGACAGCGAGGAGATGGACGCGGACCTGACCGAGGTCGACGAGGATGGCAGCATGAGTATGGACACCAATTACCGTACCATGGACGTCGATTCCAACTCGGGCGCTATCGATCCCATGGACGAAGACATCGCAAGCCGTTCCGTTGGTGGCTTTGAGGATCGCATGAGCGATGATGGCACCGCCAGTCTTGTCGGGTTTGGCGAGGGCGCCAACAGCACTGTTAGCGGCCCCATCTACCACCGTCGACCTCTGCCGGGAACCACCGGTGCTACTGGTGTCTGGGGTCTCGAGCGCAGCAGTTCCGGTCTCAGCCAGGAAGCCATGCTGCGCAATCGCGAGATGCGTGACGTCGGCAGCGATACCCCCGTTAGCGCGTCAGCCGCAGCAGAGACGCGCCAAGCCAAGTACGTCGACGGCGTCTCGGTGGACGGCGGCGGACACGTCGGTACTTCCGATGACGATATTTTCGTTGACACCACAACCCGCGGACCTGTGCCGGTCCAGCCCGGCCAACCACGTACTAGTGCTCTGCGCGAGGGCGTTGGCGGGCCCGCATCGCGAGAAGCAGCCGAGCGCATTGTACGAGAGCGTCTTGACGGTGGCGAGGGCACGCGTGCCCCTATTCTAGGCAACTCGAAAGACGGCGAGAAGCTGGGCAAGTTTTACTTCGAGGAGAAGAAGTAGGTCCTCCACAGCAAAAACAAGAAAGAGTGAGGTAATTGACGAGAAAACAAACTATTGTTCCATATTTCATGTTTGTCCATGTGGCGGAGTTATCGGCGTACCGCGGGAAACCAAAAATCCACCTTCAAGACACGGTGGAGCTAGGGAGAGAGTGGTTCAACTGTCTTTGCTGGCTTGATATACCTGGCCAAAAAACGAGGATGCGGACAGTATATGAGCGAGATCGGAAAGGAAAGTGCATTAGCAAAGAGGTGATGTTTAGCTCACTGAGCCGAGAGGGAATCCTTTATCCAGGGCTAATAGCTTGTGTATGTTAGATGTTGCGTGGTGTTGCATTGCGTTCATATTAGCACATGTCTGCTGTTTAATGTCATTGTGCGCTGCTTCGCACTGTTCATGACCTTCGTGGAACTATATCATAAACAAAAGGAGGCGATCTGGGGTTTGTACCATAAATGCATGGGCTGGTTTTTGCGATATGAGTAACCAGAACTTAGCTGAAATCTAGGTGCAGGAGAAAAGCAGTGCGCGCCGGGACTCGAACCCGGAATCCTTAAGATCAAAACTTCGTGCTCTTGCCAATCAAGTTACACATACCTAAAGATTATTATTGAGCCATTAACGCATCAGCGGAAGGTAAAAGGAGTTGCTATAATATATCCCTTTTCTTGCTAGGACACGTAAAATTCTTCGAACGGGGACATCTTGATGCTTCTATTTTTAAGGACCTGAGTTTTTTCTCCCTTAAGCTCATACCTCCCCATGCTTCAAGGTATGGGCCTATACAATCGTAATATCCACAAGTTTGGACACGTCTACATTAAAATACCTCCGCCCAAGCAGTCCCGTTGTCTGAAAATCCTCACCGTCCATGGCCCCATGGAGGTAGCATTCACCCACGAACTCATACGTTGAACCATCGTCCTCAGACGAGTTCTCTACAGGTTGGTCATTTTTGCCTCTTTCACCTGCCTCTGTTTCCTCCTGAGATTGGCCTCGAGACAGCGGCCGCAGCACATACGGGAAGAACCCTCCGACACAGGCCACCACCAAGTCGCCCTCCTGCACGCCGCCATCAGTGCGCCTCTTCCCCTCCGCCATCTGCCCCGTAAGCTCCCCCCTAATCGCCTGCGCCGCCACCTTTGCGGCCTGCGGATCCCGCTCGGAAAGGTACTGCTGGAAGCTCTCCAGCATACCGCGGGTCATCGGATCGTTCATGAACCGGCCCAGCCCGGCCTTGGTCTCCTCGGCCGCCGCCTTTTCGCTCAGCAAGCTGCTGTCCGCCGCCCCGACGTCCTCGATCGCTGTCATCCCGAACCGGCCCTCCGCCGTGCGGAAGAACCGCCGGCCCGCCGCGTTTTTTGCTAGGAGCGCCTCGTACGGCGCCGCCTGCCCGCACCGCGGCACGTAGCTCATAAGTTCAGGGGAGGCTTGCATGCGCGCCGCGTTCTCCGGCGTCTGTAACTCGATTACCGTTGAGCAGCCTAGCTGGTGCAGGATCGTTTCTTCAGCAAGCAAGCTCGCGAAGTGTTGCTCAAGCTGGGCAGGTGCCGCCGGCGCGTCGCGCAGCGAGGACGAGGCCGGCCGATCGTCGCCCGAATCCAGGATCAGCGTGCGCCAAAACCGGGTTGCGGTGTCGGACGTGGGCGCCGCGGGAAGGTCGCGGAACTCGGTGTAGCAGAGACGCCGGCAATTGCCCGCATTGAAGATCGGAGATACGTGGACGATGCGGTCGAGGGGGCGGGCTTGCAGGTGAAGCGCTAGCTTTTCGCCTTCGGGAGAGGAAGGAGAAGTAGAAGTAGTAGAAGCAGATATAGAGGGGGTGGAGGGCTGATAAGAGGTAATAATAATAGGCTTCCGCGCCGACGCAGGTTGTATAGCATCCCACCAGCCGCGCATGCCCTTATTCGGATCGAACAAGCCCCCAATCTTCGGCGCCACGGCGCCAAAGTCCGGGACCCAGCTCGGCAGCCCTTTCATGCGCTTCGCGCACGGCGGGCGATCGCCATACCATAACATGAAGTCCTGGCGTTCGAGAATCGAGTACCGCGCAGCCTCGGTGAAGACCTGCTGTGCGCTCTTGCCGTAGTCGACGGCCGGCAGGGGCTGCGGGCCCGCGCCGTGGATTTTGGTACGCGCGGACGGCGTCGCGATCAGCAACATCGCAAAAACATTTTCGCGCGGGTCGGCGGCACCGCAGTCGCGAGCCGTCTGGATCATGGGCAGCAACTCGACGGACTCGTTGAGGCGGCGTCGCCGCTCGGCGATCTCGATCTGGTTCGCGATGTCAAAGCCCTTCATAACGTGCGGCAGCAACGGCACCTTGAAGAACTGGTGGTGGTAAAAGGGCATGGCGCGCGACGCCGCGATGTATGCGTGCCATGGGATGTTGCTGCGCCCGCACGCCACGATGGGAGCTTTCGCCAGCACGATGTCCGAGATGCATTGGACGGTTTGCCAGTACGGCGACCCGAAGATGTTGTAGATCAGATCCCAGTGCGCGAAGTCGAAAGAGTTCAGGTCGTTATACGAGCAACTGTTCAGCTCCGAACGGAGGCCGGTAAGCTGCTGTATGGTGGCCCGCGCGATGCTTATATCGGTACTAATACCCACCTTGGTGCACGCCGCTGAAAAGCGCCGTGCCATCTCGTGGATTGTCTTGAACGCCTCGGCCGTTTTGCCCTCCTGATCGGGGCCCAGCCAGCACAGCGTGCGCTCTGCATTTTGCAACACGTGCCGTTGTGCTGGAGCCTGCGCGCTGCGCTCCTCGATAGTGCGACCGACCAACAGGTCCGCCCACAGTGTCCGCGGCCGCTCCTTGCGCCGGAAGGTGCGCAGGGCGCTCTCTAGGGCCTTGGGGACGAGCTGCTCCTCACCGTCGACTGAGATAGTAGCTACGTCGGCGATGGCCTCCGGCGTGGAGCGGTCGTACGAGATGCACTCATACGAAGTGTCCTTCAGGACGGCCTCCGTAAGGCTGAGCTGGATAGATGCATCGTGCTCAGCCGCCGGCCGGAGGATGGCTAGCCGAGCGGTCAAGGCCTGCTGGTTAAACAGCGATGAGAACGGGTTACTGTTGGGCATGGCGCAATAGCAAAGTGACACAGATGAATGGCTGTTTATGTCGCATACACAATCTCATCAATGTCGGAACCCGTAATTTTATAGATGCTGAGTTATTGTTATAGCTTGGAGGAGGACGCATTGTTGCCTGGTGGTTGACTCTTTGCACAGTGCGACTGTAAACAAAAGATGACTCCTGTCGTATCCGCATCTTCACCTCTCTCGCTACCTACGCTAACCAGAACCAGTTCGGGGGACATATTAGGTTAACTTATTTCAGTTAGTAGGTACCTAAACTATGCAATCCATCGAAAGACTACGGTGCTACATTAGTGCGTACCCGACAAAACAAAATCGCGGAGCAAAATTAGGCCGATTCTTGCAAGACCGCTGTAATTACAGCGCGTAAGGCGCTGAAAAGCATTGTAATTACAAGGGCTTTCAATGGGTTTACTTATTAAATCTTATAATAAATAAAAAAAAATCTCCGAAGCGTCTTAAATTTACAATGGATTAATTTATTAAATACGTTATAATTATAATAAGAAATTATAATATATATAAAATTTATTATTTTAATAATAAATTTTATTTTATTATTTTATTTTAATTTTTAATTTTTAATTTAATTTATATAATTATATATTATATATTTTAAATTTATATTTATTTTATTTATTATAATTATTAATTTTTTATATAAATTAAATTATTATTAATATTATTATTATAATGATTATAATGGTAATAGTAATGATAATAATAATGGTAATGATAATAGCCTCAAAATTAAGGTCAAAGCCAGCTGGGAGCAGCTGGTGGCCACCTGCAATTTTGTCATTATCATGCTACCCACGAAAAAGTCCGTCGCCATTGAATCAAATATCACAAGTAGAACAACGTTGAAGCAAGATAATATTAAAATCTATGAATCCATTCTCGTATCCAATTAATATGTCGTAAACTGATCTCATCCAACCACTGTAAACGTTGCTTGCGGCAGAACCAAAGTCTTCCTATAACCAAATCCCCCTTCGAAAAAAAAGGAGTGATACTTAATGCTCAAGCATGTATAGCTTGTTGGACCTGAGGGTAGACATGAACCATGGCATCGTACAGGTCCGGGTGATTCTGCATCAATGCGCCGGGCTCCCACGCAGTTGCCACAAAAATTGTGTCGATGCCGCTGCTGATCGGTGTTGTGAAGATATTGCAGATTTGCAAGCCGATGAGGAATGCGAAGGCCACCACAACTTTTATATATATCTAAAGTCAGCCGGTCCACTGAAGTGTGTGAATGTGGAGTGTATGGACTCACCTGGCGTGTAGCCTCCGTCAGAGTTGTAAGCCGGCTTAGTAAACACCTAGAGTATTGAAATAAGTATATGATCTCAGAGTCTGTATGATTGTGAAATGGGAGGCACCTACAAGATACAAATAGGCTAGCAAACTTGTCGCGTAGCCTACGAACGTCGCACCCATGGATAGGACAGGACCGATGAGGCATTCGTTGATGAGAGCATCGATACCGCGCTGTTTTATCATGTTCCAAGTGTCCTTAGCTGCGGCCACGTACGGCTTGCCGTAGAGGGCGATGTAAGAGAAGGCATATCGGTTGAGGAATTGTACCGCCCAATCTAGTATTCCAATAAGGCATCCGAGAATCCAAAACAGAATGACACCCATGATGTTGCCTTGCGCTGCCTCATTCTGTCGAGCAACGGAGCATAACTGACGCAAAAAGTTGATGATAGCTACAAGTAGCGAGCCGAGTGAGATCGAACCGAAGCTGTACGTCAGTGCTCTTCGAAGGCTGCCCCGCGTGGCTCCCTTAGGAAGGTTGTGAGGGTGGAAGTACCAAGAGCCGTAAACCCCGGAGATGGTTGTGTGGATGGTGTTTTTCAGCCATTCCGAGATCCAGTACATGGCGAACGTGATGAACACGATAAGACCGGTAACTTTAGCGGTGCTGCAACCCCCTTCTGAGCATGCCGGGTTTTGGCCAGGTGACCACTTAGCATATACGGCGACGAATGTGACTGAGTACCATGCAGCAAGGGCAGTGGCGCAAAGGCCACCAAGCGCGCTGACGAGATACACATGGCCGTAGTTCTTAGAAACATCGACGGCGGTCTTGAGCATCAGAGCACTGAACGGAATCCGTGGGATCCAGGACTGAGGCGGTCAGTGGGCAGACTTGTCAATAAACATGAATGCATTGAACTCACAATGAAGGCAAAGACTAGGAAGGCGACAAATATCAAGTATACGATGCCCCCAGAATAGTAATGCCGAGAGAGCATGTAGATGGCTGTGACGAGGCCAAAGACAATATTGAGAATGCCACTATCATCACCGTAAGTCCGGGTCTTATCTGAAGATGCTGTAGAGGGGTTATGGCTTACGTTATCCAGATAAACTGCTTGGGAAACTGGCGGGCTAGTAGTACATAGACATAGCTAAAGACGGTAGCGACGCAGAGGCAAAAGACAAACAGAATCAACGTATTTGTGTTGAGTCCGACAGTAGACCCA